TAGTGGCCAAGTTAGGGACTGAGTTAGGGTCTTCATTGGTCATTGTGGATTAAGCTATGACCCTCGCTGGCCTTTCCAGAAGAAGCTAGAACTCATGATGGCCAATGGGCCGAAAGGTAGATCCGGCTGTGGCATTTCGGACTTGGCAAGGACCCCTTGTGGCTGTTTCGGACTCTACTCCTGTTGTTAGTAGAAGCGGAGTTGGAAGGAGGAAGTTTTAGCAACAAGCGCATGTGATCTTTTATGGAAGGGAAGAGGGACGAAGAAAGAAATGATGATGAAGGAGTAGGAATGGGCAGGATGACGATTTGATTGGATGGACAGCTGTTGGGTAATTTGACACGAGTGGGCAAGGAAAGGGGGAGAGAGAGAGAGAGAGAGAGAGAGAGAGAGAGAGAGAGAGAGGGGGGGGGGGAAGTGGCCTTCCATCCATACGGACATACATACATGCATACAGACATACACGCATACCCTTAAATAGCTATTTATCTCTCTCTCTCTCTCTATCTAATCTATCCATCTATCTGCCTGGAAAGTCATTCAGTCGGTGTGTCGGGGCGAGCAGGCCTTTATTAGAGCTCGCCAGTCGTGCTTGGAGGCCACGCGCGTCGGTTTGGTCTAATTAACGAGGGAAGTAATGGGTGTAAATGAGGCCTGAGGGAATGAGCGGAAGATTTGCTATGGGGGGGGAGGGAGGGAGAGTTGACTTCCTTCTTCTTTAGGGGGGAGAGGGGGGGATAAGACTTCCTCCTCCCCCCCCCCCTCTTCCCCTTGGCATTCGTTGCAGGGCTCCAGTCCCGGCCTCTCCTCGCTTCCCGTCGACCGAGCCTCGTGGCGCGCCCCCACGTGTTTCGGGCCTCGTCTCTGTTGGGTCTCGCCCACCACGCCCGCCCTCGTCCACCGCCGCCCCTCTAACACCGACGCCCACGGTCTCAGAGGCGCGCGCACTTAGACGTCGCTCGCCTGCGCGCGGGGCTATGCAGTGTACCAGGAAATGGCGAATTTTGCGCTGGTTGAGTGGAGCCCATTCGGCGTGGAAGTAGGGTTACGGGAGGGCGGGGGGCGGGGGTGGGGGTCGAGGGGGATGAGATGATAGGTAGGTTTGTGTGTGTGTGTGTGTTTGTGTGCGCGCAAGGGTTGTAAAGAGGCGCGTGGGAGCGCAGGCTGGCCTTTGGAGGGCTCTTGGCCTTTCGGGATTGGCCTGAGGAAGGCAGCGCGGGAGGGAAGTGAGCGCTCAGGGAGGGAAGGAAGTGGAGGCACCGACGAGAGGGAAAGTGAGCGCGGGAGATGCTGCTCGAGCATGTCCAGTGGCAGTAGCACCTCTGCGACGCAGCCTTGCGCCGTAGAAAGTGCGTCGCCCAGTGTCCTCCCTCGTGGAACAACCCCTCCCCCCCCGCCCTCCCATTCCTCCCTCCCCCTTCCTTCCCCTCCCCAGTCCTACCAGTCCTACCATGGTTTACCCATCTCTCCCTCCCTTACCCAACCCTCCCCCCTCCTCTCCTTACCCTACCCACCCCACCAGCTGCCACACGCCCGTACGCTGCCTTGAGTCTCCGTAAAGAAGTGGATTCGCTGTGTCGAGGTCACGGCTCGTCTTGGGTCGACCTTGTGACGTCGTAAGGTCGATCTCATTAGGGGCGCGTTGGTCGGAGGGCGGGAGGGGGGGGGAGGCAGGGGTGCCATAGGGTGAAAAAGGTTGAATGTGTTATGGCGGCGGCGTGCCCTTTTATGGCGAGGGTCGAGTGTCCGCTGCCGTGGGGGGGGGGGGGGTCATTGGGGGTTATGGCTGGGGTCAGTAGGGCATACATGCGCCGGAAAGGGCTTTGTTCTGTGGCGTCCGAGGGCAAGGAACAAGAAAAAATCCGTGTGGTTCTTTATAGCTGTAATAGTAGGGTCTCCATAAATTCATATATATAAACCAGAATACAGAAAGTAACAAACAACTTGTGTTGATCCGTATACACTTTGCATCAACCGAGAGATTTCCCTCCCCCTCTCATCCCTCCCCCCTTCCCCCTCCCTCGTCGCCCCCCTACCCCTTCCCATCCCCTACCCCTCTCCCTTCCCCTTTCCCCTTTCCCTCCCCTTACCCCCCTCCGCCCCCCTCCAGGAAGGCGGCAACATCTCTTCGTTGTCATCTGCAGGGGCTGGGGTCGGTCCTTTTCGCGAGGGACGTTTTCCAAGGAGATTCTTCCGTTCCGCGAGAGGGCTTCCAACGCGGCCGGCTCGTGTGGCTCGGAAGTCGTCGTGTGGATTGCTGCCAGGCTGTGCGATGGGCGCCGCCGCATGGGCCGCCTTGGACGTTTCTTTGCGCTCGATGGCAGAGTTTCCGCCGCCGGGAGAGACTGGCGGGAGACTCTGCGCTTGGAGGAGGCAGCGCTGCGCAGGCAAACGTGTTTAGACTATGTCTGGTCGTCCAAGGTCATCCGTTTGGCCCTTTCTCGCCGGCAAGGTCGCAGCAGCCTGAGCTCCATCGTAAACACGGTCGCACTATGCAGGGCCCTTCGTGGAGATGACAATCCGGTCCGGATCAGATTCCTCATTGATATGGCCAGCGGGGCGTGAGGCCGCCCGCAATGGTCCCTCGCAAACAAGGTCGCCCTCGGCCCGCAGCGCTCACAGTCTCGGGTGTGAGCGCCGTCTGATGGTCTCCGCCAGGGGGTTGATGGGCGGGGTGTTCGGGCCGAAGTTGACGTTGATGTCGCTGTCCAGGGGGTGGCCGCGCCGCACGACGCCGAAGTCCTCCACGGGCTCCGGGAGGTGGTTGGACACCGGGGCCGTGGCCGCCGGCGAGGGCCTTGGGGCCGCGACCAGGGACGCCGACGCGGCAGGCAGGGTGAAAGGCACGGCCGGGACGGGGTACACGTAATGAGCGACCGGGTGCCAGCTTAAGCTGGGCTGGGGCACCGGCGTGGGACGGCCCGTGGAGCGCTCTGGGCGGGGGTACACGTAGGGCACGAAGATGTGGTTGTTGGTGGAGGCGCCCTCCACGAACACGGAGAAGGGGCGCTGGTGGTCGGGCGGCGGCAGGAAGGCAGGCACGTTGCCGTTGTACTCGCGGTCGTGCAGTGCCGCCGACACGGGCCGCAGCCGCGACGGCTCCAGCTCGTAGCGCTCGTCGTCGTCGAGCGTCTGCGGCGGGTCTTGGAACACGTCGGAATTGAAGCCGCCTCCCTTGATGATGAGGAGGTCGTCGTCGGCGTAGAAGACCTCGTCAGGATGCAGGCCACCCAGCTGGTGCGGGCGCGGGCGCGGCAGCGGCGGCGGCGCGCCCCGCTCGCTCTGCAGTCGGTCCAGAGTCGTGTATTTGTCGTCGGCGTCGAGCACGGCGCCGTGCTGGTCGTCGTGGGCCGTGTCGGCGGTCACGCGGCTCTTGGTGGTGCCGTCGTCGTCGCGAGGCGGCGCCGGGGGGCCTCCGCGGGGGCCTCCCACGGGCACGAAGCTGAAGGGCGGGTACGGCCCCAGGAAGAACGGGTGGGCGGTGATGCTCTTGAAGTGGCGCTGGCGCTCGGAGGGCGGCAGCCGCGGCCGGAAAGTGGTGGCGGGCGGCGCGGACGTGGTGGGCTCAACGTAGCCGGGAATCCGCGACGCCTTTGGGTGATTGTCGCTCTTGCCCCACACCCATCGGTCCTCGCTGTTCGCCACGCCCACCAGCAGCAAGCTCAGCGCCCACAAGCTCCGCGGTATCAGCATCTGAAATAAATACAACGTTAGTGCTACCTCTCTCCGCTCACTCACTCCTCCTCCTCCCCCTCCCCCTCCTTGTATCCTACCCTCTCCCCACTTCCCTGGCTCCCGCCTCAGTAACCATCTCTTGACTCGAGGCACTCCATCTTCCCTAAAGATCACTTCTTTCGTCATCATTAAAGTCTCGAGTCATTTGCCGTTTTTCCCCCGTGTCCTCCCCACCCACCCCCTCTCTCTTTCCCTCTTACTCTTTCTTTCTTTTATTTCCCTCCCTCTCATCCTCGATTCTTGTCCCCTCCCTTCTCCCTCCCGCTTTTCCTCTTCTTTTTTTTCCCCTCCACCTCGCTCCCCTACTCCCTCTTACAGTTAACGGAGGCACTGTCTTGCCTAATCCGTCTCTCCCCCTTATCCTCACTCAAGCCATTGGCCCCTGCACGCCCACACACCTCCTACAGTACATCGTGCGGGCGAGAGTGGGCGGTAAGAGAAGCCGCCCTTGGCCGACTTGACGGCTGGAGGCAGGGCGACGGGAGCGGGGGGGGGGGGGGGGGGGGGGGGGGGGGGAGGAGTTCTTGGACATCCACAGGTCCGGCCGCAAGCATTTCTCTGAATGCACAATTGTGTAGAATCAACATTTCATGTGTATTCATGTATCCGTATGTATGCTGTTGATATTCTTGGCGCTCTGATAACACTACATTCAGTATAGAAATTAGTAGCGGGGGGGGGGGGGGGGGGTGATGGTAGGGAGTATGTCATGTGTTTGTGTGTCTCCGTCTCCACCTGCTTGCCTGCCTGCCTGCCTGCTTGCCTGCCTGTATCTCGGATGAGCCAGGCATAGCGGGATGCGGTCCTTGTCGGAGTTGCGAGGTAGCGGAAGTCCTCCCCCCCCCCCCCTTATGTAGGGCTCGGGGCTGAGGGGAGGGGAGGGAGGGAGGTTGATTACCGTGTGAGGAGTGTCACCCATAATTATTATAGTCAGGGTTGTACGTACGGACTTCCATTACGGACGGCCGGAAGGAGCCGAGATTTCCCCAGTTTCGTGTTTTTGGTTGGTTTGGTGGAATCTTTGTTAACGAGGTTGTTGTTATTGTCGCTTTTTTATATAATTGATTGCTGAAGTTTTAATTGTAATGGTTACCACTTGGATCATCAGCGTTGTTATTTTGCCAACATCACGAGTGACGTAATTAGTAACAAGAAGGGCGTCAGCCGTAACAAAATCCTCAAACGTTTCTTCGTAAGCGATCCTTGGTCTCCGCACCCCTTCCCCCCCTCTCCCTCCCTCCTTCAGTTAGTTCCTCATGCCATAACTCGCTCGCTGCGGCTTCCTCTTCCCCCGAAGCTGAAGGTGGCCTGCTACCTCAATTTTTTTTTTTCTCTTTTCTCTCTTTTTTTCTTGTTTTTTTTTTCTTGTTTTTTTTTTCTCTCTCCTTTTTTTTGCCCCTTTCCTAATCTCCCATTCAGGTTCATAATCTTAGGCCTTTGTGGTTAGATTTTTTTGTGTGTGTGTGTGTTTGGAATAATACCCTCGAGCCGGTTTTGTATTTGATGGGCGTGTATGGGCGGTTCGTGGGCGGCGACGGGGGGGGGGGGGGGTGAAGACCAGGCCCGAAAGTGGACGTCGGTTTCCTTGACTTTTTTTTCTAAACAGTGAGAATTGAGTCATTTATTTTCGTTCGCTTTCGGTGGACTCGGGTTGTATAATCACGAAAGTTTTAAATATTTTTCGAAAAAAAAACCTTCCAAGCAGACGTAAAGGAAAATAATTTAGTTATTTTAAGCGTAGACTTCGGCAGAAACGGAAAATGATTAAGGTTTCGTCATACGTGATCTTGCTGTAACTGGATTAGTTTACTGTTTTTTTGTTTTTACATGTCGTTACAGTATTGTTGTTGAGGATTTCTTTCGCCTCAATTTTGTGTCTTCTTCTTAGTCTTGTTATTACTTTGTTATTTTTCATACAGTTTCGCACGAAGCGGAAAATCAATTGTTTTTATATAAGAATATTTGTTTTCTCTTTTATGTCGTAGCAACATCGGTGTTTATTTATTTATTTATTTATTTATTTTGCTTCAGCCTTGCGCCATGTGCTTGCTCTCCACCGCAGTCCTGTTGTATTGATGTCATATTTGGAAAATAACATTCTCGGAAAGGGCAGAAAGGAAACTGGTTTTTGTCAGGTCAGCATCCGAAAGATGACTAAATTTTGAAATGCGTGCGAGAGGGGGGGGGGGGGATAAGTATCAACGTTCGGTAGTCGGGTTGTGTGGACGGATGCTGTACGGGATTGATCGGCTTCAATTCTCACACCGAAACGACGGCTATAAGTAGGGAAAAAATCGATTTAGTCAGCCACACTGTTAAAATGAAAACGCGATTTTGTCAGCCACATTGTAAGAAAAACGCGATTTTGTCAAAACGTTATTTTGTCATCCACATTTAAAGAAACGCTATTTTGTCAGCCACTCTGTCCGAGAACTTCCACTTGTAACTGTACCGCTGGCCGCCGTCAGCCCCGCCCCACCCAAGCCTTCACCCTTGCGCGCACACGGCACTTAACCTAACGAAACTCCGGAGACAAAAAAAGGGGCAAAAATCGGGCTCCAAGATTTGATGCCCCGGAGTCTGCGCGCGCCTTCCCTCGCCTTTTTCTTCTTCCCCTCCCTCTTTCTTCCCCTCTTCTCCTCCTTCCCTTCCCTCTTTCCCTCCATTTTCCCTACCTTTCCTTAACTCTTTCCCCTCTCTCTTCCTCTCTCTCTTTCCTTCCCTCCTCTTCACCTTCCCCGCCTTCTTTCTCTCCATTTTCCCTTCTCCTTTCCTTGCCTCATTCCCCTCCCTCCTCCCCTTCCTCACCCCCTCCCTCTTCCCCTCCCTCTTCCCCACCCTCTTCTCCCTCCCCACAGACGGACTCTGCTCCGGGAAATTTGAAGTGTCTTTGTGTGGTTCTGTGACTACTTTGGGGGACACAGACAGACAGACACACACACGCAAGAGGGAAAGACCGACAGACAGACAGACTCGGGAGATTGCAAGTTGTTAGATTGCAGGTTGATCCCTATTTGCCGGGCGTCTATCCAGGGCCCTTGAATCGTGGGTCGTTTATTTTTTTCCCCCCAAATTTCTGCTTGGGAGCTATTTGCAAAGGATTACGAATGGAAAAGGGAAAGGGTGGGGGAGGGGGGAGGGGGTAGAGGTTCTACTTGCTCGGATGATTGTTCGGTTGTCAATGTAGTTACCTTTGTAGTTTATAAAATTATTTAGAATTAGTACCAAAAAAAGAACTATTTCGTTTTGTAGCTGCATTATTATGGCTAGATTTTACATTCGTTACCTTTTTTCTTTGTCATTTCGGGATTTGTGTTCGTCGTTGTGGGCGTGACAGGGATTGAATAAATGAAGAAATCAATACGAGAGTTCTTTTTGTGATTGTTGCTAGTTTTCAAGCCTTGACGAAAACTTTACGAAACGGAGAGCAACGCACGTGTACAGAATTTATACTAGAAACGGCAAGGTTTTCGGAATGATTTTACCAAGTCGTGATTTTGAGTTGGGGGGGGGGGGACGCGTGACCGACAACGGTAAACGCGCGTCCGGTCCCGAGCGCTGGATTGCGGTCGGCGTCGGGAATGCTAGCGGTTCCGTCGGCCCCTCGGGAAGGCAAAGGAGTGGGGGGGGAGGTATGGGAGGGGGTGATAAGAATGGGTGGATGGGCGCCGAAGGAGGTGGAGGAGGAGAAAAAAAGCTGGGGGGAGGGGGTTAAGTGGAGTAGGTTGGGTTGATGGGGCCAAGGTAGGTGGGGGGGGGAGGGGT